GACAGGGCGTGTGGGGATGTGACATCAAGAGATGTAAATCAAATGAGATTTGTGAGGAGACAGAATTGCCGTGTTTGAAGGCTCCATGGTAAAGATTTTCAAAGTTTATTTTAGACAATAATAAATTCCAGCCCTATCCGGTTAGCTTGTGTCAAAATTATCCATATCAATGGAACGAGTGGTTCAACAAATTCCACGTCAACTACAAATCCATTAAGTGTGTGTCCAATGAATCAGACGATGAGCGATTGTTTGAACAAGTGCAGTGAGGAAAAGTGTCCAGGGATTGGAATTGTGAGTTAATTAGGGGTAATTACGACAAAAAGGTCAACTATGTGCAATCACACTCAAAATTAAATTCTACACACTTTCATGGTTTATCAAATTACCTAGCTACTGTAGGTTCTGAGCTTTGTGCTTTTCAAGTTGGCGCGTCTCCCTCATCCCTCAAGCTCCGGGCGGAGGACAGCGACAACTTTAAAGGCGCATATCTCAGAAACTACGGTACATAAAGTAATGTGAATTACATAAATATTCGAAATTGAATTATTCAATGATTTTAGCGGCCACAACCGGTCTTAATGACCCTTTTTGAAGGCTTGATACTTTGCTTCTAACGATCTTAACGTCCCCCTCAGCACTAATAGTCCAAACGGTCCAAAAAATTCTAGCTGCAACGAAAAAACATTTCTACATCTTAACGACACTACCCTAAAATATCCAAAAAGAACTAAACGGCTTAATGCTCCTACGAAAAGCAAACCTAACCCATTGCAGAGCATGATGTGCACCAAACACTGTGGTCAAGGATGCGCGTGCGCTGCCGGGTTCGTTAGATCCAGCAATGGAGAGTGCTATAAATCAAAAGACTGTCCACTGGAGCAAGTTTGCGGAGACAATGAAGAGTACCGATGTGAGAATTGCGCTGCAACATGCAAAAATCCCGAACCAAACTGTCCAGAACTACATAACAAGAAGTGCAATAAGAAGTGCATTTGTGCAGCCGGATTTGTGAAAAAGAATGGGAAGTGTGTTACACTAGCCAGTTGTCCGGATCATGATCATAATAGTGAGTGGGCTTTTGAGTAATTCGACACAAAAGCAGTGTTCTGATCTTCAGATATTACCTGCTTGGGGACCGAAGAATACACCGATTGCCTTCCAAAATGCCGTCAACTTTGCTCAGGATCCACCCAATGCAATAAAAACAGTCACACAGATATGTGTACCCCTGGCTGTGTCTGTAGACCAAGTTACAAATTGGACAGCAACGGAACATGTGTTCACAATAAACATTGTTTTAAGAGTGAGTTATAAACTCGAATTAAGGAGGCTCCCTCCCTCTAAACGTCGAAGTTTTTCAGCCACTGACTGTCCTGTGAACGAGGAATGGTCCAAATGTATCTCACTTGACAATGTGTGCGGAATGGCTACTATTCAGAAGGTCCCACTACGCAATCAATGTTTTTCCGGATGTGTTTGTGCAGCTGGATTCGCCAGAAATAGTAATGGAACTTGTGTTGAACAAGACAAATGCTGATTTGTTCCATTTTTTGGTTTCTATCGAAGAGAGATGAATTGTTGTGTTTTAAAGTTTTTTGGGGTTTTTTGAGAATCGGGAAAAGAATATGGAATTATTGTAAATTAGAAAAATTGAAAACTTCAAGTTTCAATTAGAAAATTACCAAAAATTGACCATTGAATTAATGTGAAATGGACTATAGCAAAATAGCAAGAAAAAACTATTCCAAGTTGAATCAATATCTCCATCCAGTAATCATTATCTTTATCCATAAAAATTTCCATTTTTTTCATCAAAGTTTGTCATCGTTTGGACCGTACTGGGTGGGTAGGATCGAATTTGGAATTTTCATAACTCAAAAGTGTCCTATCTCTCAATATCTTCCTAATCAGAGATGAGCGGAAGAGATTTAGGGAAATTTAAGGAAGACGGTTTATCTTCGAAATGAAAAATGCTACCAAAAAGCTGTCAACAGACAAAATGTAGATCTCAATGAGAGCTATCGATTAGCATAAAATTTTTTTTTGAAATTTCGTTGGATTATTTAAATAGAGTCTTTCTTCCGTCTTCTGTGTGCCAGACGGAAGACGGAATACGGAACAAACGCCATATCTCAACTCCCCATCATTATTATGAGATAACTTTTATACCAATAAATAATTTTAATTGATAATTTATTGATCAGAAGAAAATATGGCACAAAAGTTATAACGGGAGTTCTAGATAAAATCCCTAACGAGATGAACCTAGAGAATGGGGAAGAAATTGGTATACATGTAAGGTTGACAAGGTATTTAAAAAAAAAGGGGAAAAGGTGAGCTAAAACCGGGTGATGGAAGATTGGATTAAGGTAGAAAATTGATCGGGAGTTAAAAATTGGGGAGTATTCCTTACAATTGCATTCCAAATAGGGGCGGTGGTGAAGAAGAAGAAGTCATCGGTACATTTATCTGAGAGAATAGGTCTCCTAGGACAGTCGGGAATTCTTAAGAAAGAGGATAATTCTGGCATATAAGAGGCGTCACTAATCATTTTGTAAAGAAGAACAAGTTTAGATTTAAGTATACGATGTCTGATAGAGAAGAGGTCAAGAGAGGGGAGTACGTACAGTACTGGTCAAAAAGGTATTCGCAAATAGTTTTTCGAGCATAACTTTTCTGAAACTTCCCGGATCAATCTGATATTTTAAGACAAAGTTAAAAACGGTAAAAGAAACTGATTCAACAACAAGAATAGTCAAAATTTCAAAAAATTGAAAAAAAATCGAAAAATTCATGAAAATTGCAAAAAACCGGTAAATGGAACTTTGACTTCTGAGATCTAGGATAGACCGGTAAACGAAAAATAACAATAGAAAATGAATAAAATAGCTTTAGTACTTCGTTGGGAAGCCTTTGGCGTCGATTACCGCCTGACATCTTCTTGGCATCGAGTCGAGAAGGGTGTCGATGACAGACATCGGGATGGCCTGCCAGACATCTTGGAGTTGGTCGAACTTCTGGTTGGCATTCGAGGCACGGACCCCTCTAAGCTATCTCTCGACATGCTCCCAGAGGTGTTCGATCGGATTCAAGTCCGGAGATTGACTTGGCCAGTCCAGAAGATCCACGTGGCGGCGTCGGAACCACTCCTTGATGTGCTTCGAGGTGTGCTTCGGGTCGTTATCCTGTTGGAAAACGAACGCCCGGCCCACAGTAGACCGTGCCCAGGGTCTCATTGTGTTCTCCAAGATGTCTTCATACACAAAGCGATCCATGATGCCCGTAATTCTTCTCAGCGGGCCGATTGAAGTCCCAGAGAAGCAGCCCCAGACCATCACCGATCCACCTNCATGCTTGACGGTTTGGAGCTGGTAGCTGGGATCGAACCGACATCCAACCGGACGGCGAATCCACTTGATACCGTCAGTACCGAACAGATTGAACTTGGATTCGTCGCTGAACACGTGATTAGCCCAATCCTGACGTCCCCAGTGGAGATGAGCTCTGGCCCATGCTACGCGGGCGATTCTGTTCTTCTTGCTGATCGATGGTTTCTTAGCTGGCCGTCGTCCATGGAGTCCAGCATCTTGAAGACGTCTTCTGACGGTTCTCAGGGATGGTGTGACTTCATTTGGAGTCTTCACGACCATCTGAATGTCCGTAGAACTCCTCTGGGGATCCTCTCTTGAAGCTCGGACGATGTTCCGATCCATGTTCTTCGACGTGATACGCGGTCTTCCAGGCGATTTTCGCTCCACCAAGGCTCCCTAAACATTTTTTCCATAACTATACTATTTTTGAATATTACCTCATCCCGAAACTGCTTCAAGATCTTCTCGATGGCACGTTTAGTAACATTGAACTGCTGCACCAAGAGGTCCTTGGAACATCCACTTCTGAAGCCGATGACGATGGCTTTACGGATGTCCTGAGAGATGTTTTTTTTTTCCGAGGGGTCTGGCCATGTCTGTTAACAGTTTTAAATACATAGGAGCCAAAACCAACATTCTTAGAAACCATAATATTCAAAAATATAAAAATATGAAAAAAGTGAAAAAACGAAAAAATTGAAAAAAACAAAAAATTTCTGAAAATGATGCAATTTTCTTGTACGCAATTTGTCGTCACCGTGTACGACATGCACAGTAAAATTTTCAGATCGATCCCTTAAGTTTCAGCAAAGTTACTCTCCAAAAACCGTTTGCGAATACCTTTTTGGCCAGTACTGTAGGTAAATAACTCTCATTGAGATCTAGATTTTGTCCGTTCACAACTTTTTGGTAGCATTTTTCATTTTGAAAATAAACCGTCTTCCGTAAATTTCCGTAAATCTCTTCCGCTCATCTCTGTTCCTAATATATAAAACGCTAGAGGCGTCTGTCTGTCCTCTTGAGGATCTGTGGACTCTTGAAAAGATCTTTAAAAAATAGATTTACGTGACCCTTTAAGAAAAAGTGAGCCGTGAACAAGTAAAAAAACTGATCGAATCGGCGCATTATTTTTAGTACAGCACCATTCTCTGTTCTATCAGAGAATGCGTCTTAACATCACATCATAAATTTCCATAAGCCCGAAATAGAACAGGTGAAACTTCTTTGTTTGAAAAAAAACGTTCAGCAACACATCATATATTTCCGAATCCAGATAAAGGAAAAAGGACAAGTGAAATATTGCTCGGCTCAACACTTCCCACATTTTTCTTGCCTACTTCTAGATATGAACGAAACGCTTTCATGCTCACATAACTCCACTCCTAATTGCTACATTGGTGCTGATTTATTGAAATGGCTTGTGCCGTCTGTTACAGTGTACAATATTTTTGCTACGCTCACTTTTCGGCTGTATGTTCAAGTACATAAGAAAAACAAGTCTCGAGATAAGAAAACAGCCGTTTTTCAAATTATTGACCATTTTTATAAAATCAACAAAAAATACATCCAAGCTATATGGCTTTGGTATGGAATAGCTGCTGCAGTGTATTTCGTCGATTCAGTTTTTCTCTCATATCCATTTTTAATTTCGCTATTCCCTATTGTTGTCATATTTTGCGCTGTAACTGAAGTGAATCAGTTTCTTTTGGCGTTATTAGTAACTCAAAGATTCTGCCTTTATTTTTTTCCAAGTACTAAGAATCGTCTCAATTTTTCACGATGGACTATGAATCTGATTATCATATTGGCTTATGGAGCTTCATTTCTTGAATTCGCCCTAGTTGTGTATCTACATTATGTATTCCCACAATCAACATATTTATTTTTCCAAGTATTTTTGCGCTGTAACTGAATTCATCGGGTTTCAATTTTTGCTGCTATTTTTGACAGTCCTTTTTGAAATCAAACTTCCAGATCTACAACGTTTTACTCCAAGAGTTTTTGATAGCATCTGCTGCTTTATACGTTCCAATATTTATCAGTATCAGAAAATTGGGCGATTTAGTAGCTTCTCCAATTGATGAACTTCGAAGATGTGTTGCCAAAAAATAGTTGCTCAAATAAAAACTCAATTTTCTCAGTCTTCTTTTTTTCAGATTCTTGTTCCTGTTTTCATTTACATCGCCATGAAACCTTCACATCAGGATGCCGTAAGTTGTTTGTCAGAAAAGTATCAAATCAGTTCCTGTTTTAGTATATTATCCACACAAAACTTGTGGATTTGTTGCTCTCGCCAATACTCACCCAAATGACATACCTTTCTTGTAATCAAAGACATGTGATGGCTGTGTGGAAAAAATCGAACCCAAATTGTTGTAAATCGAATGCAGTGGATCCCAATATCCCTTTAAATCATAAATAACCTATGGAAACAACTCGGTCATAATCCACTATTACAATTCTTTCCTTGATTTTTTTCTATTCGAATTTAAACATTTTACTTCAAACAGCTAAACATTCCTTAAACACATCAAACAAGTAAATGCAAAAACTTGAATTCCTTATCATATCGAATCTTACGAACAACTCTGCCATTTCGGGGAACCTGAACCGCTTTAAGCATTATCGGAAAGTATTGGAGCATTCTGGAATTCGTGTTATTGAAAATTGATCTAAAGTTGGGATTGTTCCTTTATTCAGATGTCTCCTCATACTGGCGATTCTGCTTCCTTTTATAGCATCTCCTCAGCATATCCACGATTATGCTCTAGATCTGATATGGTGATAAGGAAGTGATCACGCCAAATATGTAGCGTTGAATAGTTGGAGAATAGAGTTTATGACTATTTGTGTCATTCTAGATATGATCTAGTATTGTTGGATTTGAGGTCATGCAGTACAACCTCTGCTGCCGCGACACTCCAGCCCATTGATTGAAATGACTATATTAGAGGCTGAAATTTAATTATTATTGGATTTCGAAAGTTTATCAACGTTATTTCCGGGTTCTAAAGTGTGGTCTCAACTCTCTGCCCGTATTGAACTCGAACATCCGAATCGATTCTTCTAGAACTTTTGAAAAACCATTTGGGCTTAACCGTCTTCCATAAAGCCATCACATTCCTCCTATTACATCCAAGATATGTGATTTGAGTGATTGTTGGCATCAGCAAAGCGTCGAAAATTTTTGAACATTCAATTGCTGCAGAAATTCGAAGAAACGGTTTATCTTCATTGTCTAACACTCCATACAAGGCATAGAATAGAAAAAACTGAAATTCAAGTATAAAAAAAAGGAAATTCTGATAAATTTGTACCATTTGCTTTGCGACAACAACTACTAATTGCCAAGCAACAAATCTTTGGGGTTTTTTTGATTTTTGCAGATGCCAAATTAGTCAGTTTACTTATACTAATTACTATTGGGATGTATAATAAAGCAGAGGCAGTTAAAAATGCCTGGAGGGATAAATTATAAACCTGAAATTTAAATTTATTGCTCAGGTTAAAAAATAATTACTCACGTAACTGAGAACTGAGTAATTATCTTCCATAGCAGATATTGATAAATTTGGTTCTTTTTCTGAGCTTGTTTTCAATAGAAAAATACCTTCTGAAATTGAACATGCATAGGCAACTACCAGAATCCAGTTCACCGTTCTTCTGGAGAAATTCAAGTATTTCTCGGTGCTCGGATAGAAATAAACGAAGAATCGTTGAATTGCCAATAAACCAATCAGAAATTGATTGACTTCTGATACACATGCAAATGGTAGCGCACTGAAGATAAGGAATAAATAAAACAAGGTCAAATAATCCAAGTAGTACAACAAATATTCAAAAGCCACAAAGCACCAAAACGCCATGGTCAATTTTTTATTGATTTCATGAAAATGGTCGATAATTTGAAAAACTGCAGTTTCCTGATCACGTGATTTATTCAATTTGTATACGTTTAAATAGATCGCAAAAATCGATAAAACTATTATACCAGACACAATGAAAAATATGAGATAATACTTAAATTCGTTTTCCAGATAAGGGTTGAAATGGCGCAATAAAGTCTCGCCGTTACTAGAATTCATTTTTGGGGGAAAAAAAGAATAGAATGAGATTATGGAGGCTCTAGGGTGTATGAAGACAGCTGAAAAAAAGGGACGAATCCTTCTTAGTACTTCATTTGGCATTTTTCAACTTCCATGAAGAAACCAGGATATTTTCAAAACCGAATACATTTTGACTAGGCTTTCCATGACGGGCGGGTAGCGAACGGGTAGCTGCTACCCGCCTGTTCCCGAACCCGCCCGCTACCCGCCCGCTTGCTACCCGGAACTTTTTGTGTTTGCAGACAATGCGCGCAACTTGCCGACACTTCGATTGAAATATTTTTTAAATGATTTGT